GGAGGGGCCGGTAAACATAGCATGCCCTTGGAACGCGGTGCCGTTCATCAACTCAATGATCGATGGCGCCCAAATGGAGCTTTCCAAGATAGAGCAGCTGTCGATGAAGACGGTGCGTGAACAGACCGGTCGGACCTTCCGACTTCAGGCTGCGGTAAGTTTGTAGAAGTTTTTGTTTTCAAGTGTTTGTGGGTTCGGCATGTACTAAACTTTTGATGTGTTGCAGGCTGATCGGTTGGTGCTGGTTTGCTTGGCGGTGCCGAAGCTGTTCCTCTGGAGTTGAAATGTTCGGCCTTGGCGTAGATAGCCGCCTGTTTTATCAGCTCGGCATAGGTGGTCCAGTTGCTGCTGTGAACTAGATAGCGAAACTGAGATGACCGAAGGCCACTTTTGAAGGCGCCGAAGGCCGCCCTATCATCAGTTTCAGGGCATCGGGAATATTCATGGCTGAACCTAGCTACATATTCTCTTAAGAGCTCATCGTCTTGTTACCGAACGGTATAGAGGTCATCGGCAGAATACAGGCGATCAGTTTGAATCATAAAATGGTTGAGGAAAGTTTGTTTCAACTGATCGAAAGAATCAACCGTACCTGGCTCCAATCGGTAGAACCAATTCAAAGCGGCTCCGGCCAGTGTGGAGGGGAATAGTAAGCATTGGCCTTCATCGATGAGCCCTTTGCAACCCAAGGCCGATTGAAAAGTGTGGATGTGAGTTACGAGGTCTTCCACCCCTGAGTAGAACGATATTCGGAGTGCTTGGACCTCTTTTTCGTGTATGAACGTTCGGATGCGACTGGTGAATGGTCTCGGTTGTACATTTCCCCACGTTGGTGTCCGGGCTTGATTCTGTTCTTCCTCAATGCGGTTCATCTTCTAGAGGAGAAGACTGATGGTGGGATCGGTGGAGGGGAGATCGTAACGGTTCGTGCACTTGCGAGTATCACAAGTTGAGGATGCAACTGAATCCATTTTGGTGAAGCTGTATCTACACAACAAGGCTATCGTGATCTTTTGAAGGTCCTGCCGATCGGTGGGAGATTGTAGTTCCTGGTGATGTTGGAACGTAATCTGATTCATCCGTTTCCTCCAGGCCGATTGCATCGTACCTTCGGTATATGGGGGATTTTGGTCCGGGTGCTTCCAGACGTCGATCATTTAAGTTTGGCTTGGATCGGAATGGGCGAAGGTTGCCGCTCTTTACGCCGATCGTTGATCCTATAGCGGCAATCGGAGTAAACTTGGTATTCTGAGCGACGCTCCCTTGGGGAGGGTACGAACAGCTTTCGGGTGGCAGATGGCTTGCCGACGGCTTGCTGCTTCCGCCTATCTTGAGTGCTAGGCTTCTGCACTCTTTTAAATGAATTCTCTTGCCGAAGCTGCATGTTCCGATCCAGACCGTCCTGTAGCTGGGTCGAGTGCGTTTACTGATCATGCAGTTGCCTCTGGGTGTCATCAAGTTTAGAGGCGAGGATATTGTTGTGCTCCTGCATTCTTGTCATTTCCCGTTGTAGAGTTTCCACGCGGGCTTCCAAGGTATTTGGCCGAACAGGCGTCTCTGTCCGCGGTGTGTGAAGCAGGGGAGCAGGGCTTGGCTCGCAGCCGATGCCGAGGATGAGGCCATCGGCAGGGAGGGATGAAGGTGGATTCATTTTTTGGTCTCAGAGTTTTGAGATATGGGTTGATTGATAAGCGCTTCCCACAGACGGCGCCAATCTGTTGGCACTAAAACTGAACAGATAGAGATAAGTGCAACTTACTAGTGATGTGAACGATCTAGAGATCGATTGAGTGTTAGACGCAGATTCTTCCTGTCCATGGATGCTGATCCTGAATAGAAGGAAGTCGAGGCTTGTGAGGTCTATGGAACCGGTGTGGAACCAGCCTAAGACCCTCCGATGCCCAAGTAAGTTTGTTTCTAAGAGCTTTTGCTACTGACAATGTATTTAGCATAAAAGTCAAGCTGAAAAGTCTTACCCTTCTATTGTAGTGAAGATGCCTTTTTATAGAGAGCATTTGGTATGCTCTTAGTACTTAATTTCGATGTGGGACTCGTGGGAGGGCCCTACGAGGTTGACACGAGTCTTTAGATATTTCGGGCGGGCCCTTCGAGGTTGATTTTGCAGAATCGGTAGGGGGTACCAATTGTTCGGAGCCTTGGGCGCTTGGGGAGTTTCATCAATCCACGTGTCACTGAATGAGTGGAGGGTCAGATATGGTACAAACAGATTTAGTGATGCGATAACTTATTAGTATGCGAAAGACTTGAAAGCCAGTGTTTTCTTTCACCCTTTTGAACTGCAAAGTTTTCAATGTGGCTGGGTCTATCCAGATGGACTACTGGGAGGCTAATTAATCTCAACCCATGATGTGTATGTTAGTATGTTACTTTGGCTGGAGCTAAGAAGATTGGTGATGTCTCTGTTACATTTGTGGAATGTTTATCTCTTAGAGATGGGTTAGCTTATGCTATTTCTATGGGTTGGTGGAAGATTTTGGTTGAAGGGTATTCTAAGCTTGTCATTGACTCAGTCCTGCAACGCTGCTCCATCCCTTGGTGCATCGTTCGACTTGTCCAAGACATTATGCCCCTTGCAACTAGTTGTTGATGCGAAGCCAGTGTTGATGCCTTAGCTTCGCTTGGACATTCCCTCTCGCCTTCAAAGCTATGGGAAGACTATCTTCCTCTCTTGGTTGTTTCACTTTTATCTAGACCTTTTTGTGCCTGCGTGCCCTGGAGGGTCTCGCCTTTGTTCGTTCTTCTTTTTCGCATTAAAAAAAAGGATTACAATATTCTTGAGATGTAAGAAAATCGAGCTACTGTTACAAATAAAATAACTTGGATCTTCCAGCCAAATGCTGCATATGTTACAAACTCATCTTATGTTTATCCAGGCAACTAGAAATTTATCCATGGCCACTCATTGCTGTTGCAATGGCATACTTAATAAATCATAGCTAGTTCATATGTACAGAACAATGACTAGGTATGAGGAGGGTTATGTTGTATCATTTGACTGGCCATTTTTGGTAGGCTTCTGATATTACATATTCTATTTCATATAGATATTCAAGGAAGAAGAGGATGGATATGAGAGTTGTTTGTACAATATCTGGCCAAGCACTCCCCAAACACTCCCAAGCCAAAGGGAAGGGAGTCCCACATCGACAAAACACAAGAGGAGGGGACTCTCCCTTCTTTATAAAAGGAGACCTCTCCCTTTCAAGAAGGAGGGAGTTAGGGCAGGCTACTTGGGCCTCATGGGCTTACCCATGAGCCCATTTACAAGCCCACGGATTATTGGCCTTCAGCCAGATCCTCAGCCTTCGGCCTTCGGCGCCATCAGCCTTCAGACTTCAGCCATCAGCCTTCGGTACTCTTCCTCTTCTCCTTGGGTCAAATCCTATGTGCATTGTATACAACATTATCGTAATGAGAACATACTTCTCCGTGGACGTAGCCCATTATTCGGGTGAACCACGTACATTTGTCTTCTGTATGCATGTCCATTTATCTACCGAATGCTCTTACATACTGAGGGTCCTCACCTTCAATATCCACCTCATCTTTAAGTTGGCCTAATTACTACCCGTCTAGTTTTAGCGCTAACAAAGTGTGTCACAAACCGCAACTGATCCACAATTACCATCATCTCCAGCTTTGACTAATCAGGGTGGGAAGGTCTCTAAAATACATATTCCATGCAGAACCTAGTTGCATATCAGAAAAAGACCACACTCAGCAATAACATCAATGAAAAATACCTTCTTCAGGTGTAGCTTGCTGCTTAGCATTCATTAACTATAGGATTGTAGTAGTTTAGATCTTTTTAATCTCCTTTAGATTAGCTGTGCATGGAGTTTTTCAGTTTCCCAAACCATAAACTCAACCAGTGACCCACGAAATCGTTCCACCGAGAAGGCATCATGGTCGTATGTGTCTGCATTATAACAATACTGAACCATCCCAAAGGCTAAATATTATGCTACCCCCTTGTCGAATTAAAGAGTCTTATACTTTCTAGAGTTAATGTTTCACTCTTGTTAGCGCTAAAACTAGACGGGTAGTAATTAGGCCAACTTAAAGATGAGATGGATGTTGAAGGTGAGGACCCTCAATATGTAAGAGCATTCGGTAGATAAATGGACATGCATACAGAAGACAAATGTACGTGGTTCACTCGAATAATGGGCTACGTCCACGGAGAAGTATGTTCTCATTACGATAATGTTGTATACAATGCACATAGGATTTGACCCAAGGAGAAGAGGAAGAGTACCGAAGGCTGATGGCTGAAGTCTGAAGGCTGATGGCGCCGAAGGCCGAAGGCTGAGGATCTGGCTGAAGGCCAATAATCCGTGGGCTTGTAAATGGGCTCATGGGTAAGCCCATGAGGCCCAAGTAGCCTACCCTAACTCCCTCCTTCTTGAAGGGGAGAGGTCTCCTTTTATAAAGAAGGGAGAGTCCCCTCCTCTTGTGTTTTGTCGATGTGGGACTCCTTTCCCTTTGGCTTGGGAGTGTTTGGGGAGTGCTTGGCCAGATATTGTACAAACACACTTTGTTTGCAGGTAAGCCATTCAGCTACTCTTAACTGAATTGTGTAGATCTTCGCGCTGACTTGTGTAAATTTACTTTTTAAACACAGGATACAATAAAAACTACTACAAGAAAAACACCCTTTAGTGACGGCTAAAAAGTGTCAGGAAACATAATACTTGACGGCTCATAAAATGTCAAGGATGTCACTGTTAGGAAAGGGGTACCCAATTTATTGACACCTTTGAACCATCAAGTAATCGTTCCCCTTGACAGCTTTTAACCATCAACTAATCTCTCTTTTCTTGACATAGTTTAGCCATCAAGAAACAAAAGACTAATAATAAATAAATAAAAATTAAATAAGCTTCTTGACCAAAAAGGCTGGAAATTGTACACTTACTGTAATAATATGAAATGAATGTTACAACATTCAAGTTATATAGTAAATACTATTACAATTACTATATGAATTAAAATTCAAATTAAATATGCTAAAAATAAACAAGTTATCTAGTAATATAGTCTCAAATCTCAATTATAAGGACTTCATCCCTTAGAAGCTTTACTTTCCTCATAACACTTCCAAGTAAGCCCATTACCAGCCTAACACTTCCTTCACGGTTGGAGCCACCCAAATCATACCAATCTAAGAACATATGACTTTATGGATCAAAGAGTTATCAAGGCAAAATCAATTGACTAAATGAATTTGATGAACAACCTATTTTCAATTAGTAGTCCCTTGCTTCAAACATGTTGTACACAATAAGAAAGAAGACAACCCATATTACCTTGATCAACATATATCACATGAAAATTGCATCCTCTTCATATATGGCTGCAGAAGTTCAAATGGGGCTGCTGATTTCAATTGCCCTATGATTAAATTAACCAAAACAACCATTTCAATAATTTTTCTTTTATAAATAAAATACAAAATAAGGAAAAATGGGGAGCTCACCACTCTTTCTGCAGTACAACACCAAGTAAACATCCAATTGTCAGTTAGTTGCTTTTATTTGCCTTGCACTTGATGTACACCAAAAACAGAAAGCACAAGGTTAGCCAAAAATTTCAGAGACTAAAAGGAAACTAAAGAAACTAACAGATTAATTGGGAATTCTCTTGGATAAAGACAAAATGAATTGACTAAAACATAATTTAAAATACAAATAAATATTCATACGCTTACCCAACAAAAAACAGAGAGTTAAATCTGCATAGAGATCATTAGATTTGTGGGAAGAAAATAACAGTCTCTTGACAGAACAAGTCATACTAGCATCTGCATGCTCAAATGAAGCAAGAAAAATAGTTTTAAAGTAAATGTGCAAATCAATCATAGCATGAGAACATTGTACCCGACATAGAAACAAGACAAGAATAACAAGAAATTAACAACTTTAACTCCTGGGTGTATAAGAGTACCAAAATTTGTAGTTTGACTCCTGTTGCAAATGATGATGCATAATTAATTTTAAAAAATTACCCATCATTTTCTTTTACATTTCAAAAGAAGAAAAGGGAAGATGAGCACAAATGCCTCATTAAAGGGTTAGTGGCAGAATATTTGGTTTCTTTGAGTCAGTTTAGATCGTGGTAACAAATACATGATATTTTAAGTAGTTACATGCTTAGTGTCATAAAAACATATCCGTTACAATATGGATCATTGAAAAGTTATTCATCTACACAAGGAAAAAGTATTGTTTTAATGGAAAGCAAGGAAATTAACTCATTAAAACATATATGACAATCCAAAATTCAAAGCACTTGAACAAGCTTGAAAGCATTGAAAACAATGTATACCCACTTTTTGGTTTGCTGAAGGTTTAAGATTGATAGCGAGTCGCACTTGTTGTTTGGCTAGCTCAAACTTCATAATCCTCATCATCTAAAACTTGTGAAAAAATCAGAGTAATAAAAATCTTCATTTATTAGTATAAAATCCTCAGCCATACACAAGCTACACCCGAGAATAACTAGTCCACGAGTATTGTATGCTTTCTCTAAATAGAAATTGACAAACTGAAAAATCCGCAAAAATCTCAGCTAGAGACTGAAATCTCATATCAAATTGTAAATTAAAAAAAACTCAAATCCTAAGTGGTAAAAGTTGTAACATGTCATATCATAAATTAAAAAACAATAACATTATAACATGCCTGAACAAAGTTGTCTGACCCCAAACACATAAAAACTCAAATAAGAAGAAGAAACAAAGAATGGTACAATCTCAGTCCCTAATTATTTTTCATCTCCTGCATTATTAATATATAACACAAGGCTCAGAAATAATTTGACTACAAATAACATAGCAAAAACACACATGCAATGGAACAGAGGATTCTCATGACAATATAAGCAAAGTAATATAAAAACCATAAGGGTTTCAGACCTCAATCACAAGAAAGTCAATAGACAAATCTAAGTATGGAAGATGGGACAATGATGTTTAAGCACTCAACTATACAGGTATACAAATCATAACAACCACTAATGTCTGTGTGTCTCTCCAAATGCCAAAACCTTAGTGGATCCAATTTTCATAAACCAAAGGCGCAAGGCTTTTTGTTTTCAACAACCACTGATCACATTCCACCCATGTTCCTACCACAAATTTTCAAAAAAAACAAATGGAAACAAGAGATACTTTGACCGCACAAAAATAAAAGAGGAGTCAGTTTCCAGTGAAAAGGAAAAAATTTAAAGAAATAGAAACAAAAAAGGAGATCCAGTTTTGTGGTGGGCTAAGATGGAACAAACAAAAAACAAAGGGAAAAATAGTTTGATGTGGTCTATTGCATAAGAAAAAGAGGGAAATCAGCCACTGCTCCCATTAAAAGGAAAGGAAAAGCAAACCTAAAATAGAACGAAGCATTTCATACAACCAAGACCCACAACAAAAATAACAAGCAATTATGAGAATACCTGGCTTGAAGTTTCTAGACAATAAAGAACCCAGTTCTACAAGGTAAAAGGGGGTGTTAAAAGTCCCAGATTTTCGCTATTATCAAGACCCTCTAGTTCAATCTTCCTAAATATCTAGAGATTGAGACATATCTGAGGAATGAAGGCTTACCCATAAAGTTGTATGAGATTGAGACAAGAAAAAAGCTAATTGTTGCCATCTGAGAGCAAGAAGCCCCTTAAATTTGTGTGTTAGATCCTCTGCTTTGTGTCTTTAATTTGGGAATTGAAGAAATAGTGGAAGAAGTTAGGGATTCTGATATTTAGGTTTGAATTTGAAATGCACGAAATGAAAGAATGATATGAGTGTTTCTGAAGAGAGAATGAAAAGGAGCGACACTTAAAAATATTTGGATCAAAATAGAGAGATGTCGCGCACAGCTCTAGCCTCCATAGTTGATGGTTACAAATAAACGTCAAGTATAGATAGTGTAAATTGATGTTTTCCTTATAAATGTCAAGTATATATAATGCGAATTGACCTCATAAAAAATAAAAAAAATAATGCGAATTGACGTTTTCTTATAAATGTCACCATAACATGATGTATAGTTGATGCTTTTTAAAAAGCGTCAAAGCATAGTAACAAAGTTGATGGTTTTGACAAAAACGTCACTAATGAAGTGTCAACTAAAGCATGTTTTCTTGTAGTAGTTAAACACACATATAATAGTTTAGAGAGTTTAGTGTCGCATTTTAAGAGGCTTCTTTACATAAACACTCCCAAATTGGCATTAATGTTTTGGTTCACGTTGACACCACGTGGAGCTTCTATAACACTAGGGCTACGTTGAGGAGGTGTGTTGAGAATTTCAATCTAGTTGGCTGTCCAATAATATGAAGGAATTATTGAACTTAATTATTTTCATTAATCGTCTCTATAAAAATAAATAATTTTTTTTTTAAAAAGGAAATATTTTCATTGATCGGTGAATATTAAAGATCCCCTCATTGTAGTATCATTTGACACGTGTCATCTATACATTGTTTGGAAAATAACATAAATGAGAGAAATTAGCAAGGCCCAATTGGAGACTGTTGGTTTTGGGCCTCAAAGGCAAACAGTCCAATAAAATTCAGATAAGCCCTACAATGTATGTATCCAATAATAGCAAGGCCCAAGAGAGCTGTGACTGAACAGGGGAAGCAAATTTTGGACAGTGTCTTGGTAGTTGATACTTGATAGACTGATCGCCTGCTGCTGGTTTGTTCGATAACAATCTCAGAGACCCCGCCGCTGCAGAATACTATCAACTCTGCAACACAAACCTCCATAGCCATATCCGTACATACGTCGCCAAGAACAACCCTCTCTATGCCCTTCTAACTTCTATCTCACTCACCCTATGGGCTCCGCTTCCGCCATCTCTCTCTGCTCTCATCCCAAGGTACTCTTTCTCTCCCTCTCTCTCTCTCTGTTATCCTCTTTTACTTGAATAATGAAATTCCTGTTGGGTTCTCAGATTCTGCTGCGGCCCCTCACGAACAAGCAGAGGCTGCAATCTCAATGCCAATCCCGAGGTTTGGGGAGTGCTTGGCTAGGCTATCGTACGCAGGGTGTGTTTTTACCTCCTATCCTTCCGCGAAGGAGGAGATGCTTGGTGGTAAGAGCGACTTCTGCGGCTGAGGGAGGTTCTAGGTGTGTGTGTGTTTCTTCTTGAAAAACTCTAACTTGGTTGAAATGTGGGTTAGAAATCAGAAAGTAGAAGCCTTTATAATTGATTATTAGCAAATTTCAACTGGCAAAAAGCATTGTTCTTTCTCTGTTTCTGTCTTAATCTGGTCCATATATAAATGCCGAATGTAGATGAGGATGACACTCCCCCTACCTGTCGATAAATACCCTTTATTGCGCTTGAGATAATCAAAGTCATTTTTTTGTTCCGGCATTATAATTTCATCTTTATATTTACCGTGCCTCCCAAATTGGTGCACTAATTTATGTCTTCAGCTGACAGTTTTGTGGAAATTGGTGGAGAAAATCCTTGTTCCAAAGCGGCAGAGGACTTCATCTGTTGAAAACAAAACGCCTGCCGAAGGAATGAAGTGGTCTTTTGCCGCCGGTTCAAATTTGCTTACAGGTTTTGGTGCAAAGATTGAAAGAGAATCCAAGCTGAAGCTCAATGACTTCGCCAAGGAACTTAGGTCATTCAGAAGTGTCGACTTGTCAGGTAGTTCTAGATGCTTTAGTGCTCGTGCATGCAGCTTCTCTATTTTTACGGACTTTTAGGAAAAACACTGGCTAAAATTTATATTCTACTTTACGTTCTTATTTTCCATTATTCGTATCGATTTTATTTAGATGCCAATTTCATTCGTGTTAATTTCTGTAACAATTCATATTTCAAGTTATATGTTTTCATAAGAGGTTTGTTATTGTTTGTTAACTTTCTCACTTGATTGTATCTTTCTTTCTTTCTTTTGAATACAAACTTGGGTTTATTGTTCAATCAATGTAATGATTGTACTGTACTTCCAAACAAAATGTAAAAACTCATGTATATTTTGGCAACACTTTATTTTGACAGGGCGTAATTTTGGAGATGAAGGATTATTTTTTCTTTCCGAGAGTTTAGGTTACAATCAGGTTTGAGTTCTTTAGTCAAATATTTCCACTATCTGTTTTTATTATATATATAATAAAAAATTCATCTTATTAATTATCAAATATTGTGACTTTGGACAATTATTGTGTGCTTTTATTGTGTTTCAGACTGCTGAAGAAGTGAGTCTTGCTGCAAATGGAATAACTGGAACTGGAATGAAAGCCTTTGACGGTGTTCTTCAATCTAACATTATGTTAAAGACTCTTAATCTTTCTGGAAACCCCATTGGAGATGAAGGCGTTAAGGTCAGTCCAAATTCCACCTGTTTATGATAAAGTTGTCTTGTTAGTTTGCTTGCAAGATTGAGGTGTCAGAAATTTTTTCTTTTGAACATCAAATGCTCCCTGCTCCCTGTGCAAAATAACATTTTTCAACCATGGGAGTGCAAAGACAAAGTTTGTAGCTCAGTTGCATGTGTATATTATTGCTTATTCTTGAATCTGAGAGCTTAATGTTGTGTGATGTACTCTTCTTCACAGTGCCTATGTGATATATTGGTGAATAATAATGGTATTCAAAAGCTCCAGCTCAACAGTACTGACTTAGGGGATGAGGTTAGCTTACTTCTTTTTATCAAAGCTGGTGCCCTGATGAGTACAGACACGTGCCTTCAAAATCTGCAAGAGGAAAGGATTGTCCATGAATGATATGCCTAACAAGCTGACGGCTTCACTGTGCAGGGTGCAAAGGCTATTGCAGAAATGTTGAAGAATAATTCAAGCTTGCGTGCTCTCGAACTTAACAACAATATGATCGACTACTCTGTAAGTAGTTGCCTCCAGATATTCTAAGATTGTAGGTTTTAATGACTTCAATCACAGTTGAATAACTGGTTCTATTTATGATTTGTTCTTTGCAAAATGGAGGTAGGGATTTACAAGTCTTGCTGGAGCTCTTGTTGAGAACAACACAATACGGAATATACATCTGAAGTTAGTGCACCCTCCTCTTTTTTCTTATATAATACAATTTCTTGTTTATATGTACCGTTGGTTTGTTTGTATTGCTTGTCTATGGCTATTCTTGAGCACACTAAGTTAAAAATTCTATTGTAGCGGTACTTAACTTTTATTCTTTTTAGAAATTCTGATGTCAATTTATTATTTTTTATAGTGGCAATTATGGTGGTGCCCTGGGGGCCAATGCTTTAGCGAAAGGACTTGAGGGGAACAAGTCTTTAAGGGTACATGTTTCGTCAGTTCCACTCTTTTTCTGTTTTGCATTGAGACAAATTAATTTACCACTCTATGTTGATGATCCCTCAGAATTTTGTATAAATTTGGAAGGTATTTTACATCCTCTGTTAACTGGAAAATACAAGTAGTTAGATAGCTGAACTGACTATGTAATAAGAAGCCTTAAAAAGACATTCAGTCACAATGGATTCACAAAATCTGCTCTTCATCAGCACTTTTAGAGATTGACAAAACCCTATTTAGTGTTGCCAAGAAATGGTGATCATTGTTCTTCTTTGATATGTCACAATATTGCTGCATATAAATATATGAGCTCTCAACAGAATGGATTAAGTTCTTCATTGTAAAGGATCTGAGGTTAATAGCTATGTTTTATATGCAGGAACTTCATTTGCATGGAAATTCTATCGGAGATGAAGGAGTGGCTGCTTTGATGTCAGGTTTATCATTACATAAAGGTTTGCATTTCACCATATCAATTGCCAACGTTAGTGAGCTATTTTATTTTATTTTTTCAGCTATTGATCTGATATGCATATTTGCTCAGGTAAACTTACACTTCTAGATATTGGCAACAATTCTTTTAGTGCAAAAGGCTCCTTTCATGTTGGTGGATATGTCAAAAAGACCAAGAGCTTGTTATGGTTGAACGTTTACATGAATGATATAGGTGATGAGGTATAGTATTTTCAAGTTGTTAACCATTTCTGCCGCACTCTTATGCGAACTCGTACTTTTATTTGGTTCCCTGTTCATTGGTTAAAATCACTTAACATAGAATGTTTAGGATTTTTGTATATGAAATTAGATTGATGGATCAAGTCCTCCATTAAGTGTCGTTTCAAGGTTGTCAGCTTGCTTTGAACTACTGCTACTGCGACAGCTATCACTGTTTAGATGTTTCTGGCATTTGACAATCTTAAGACATAAAAGAGAATTGAAAACTAATTTTGATCTACTTACTTATTTTGGAACTTAGTTCATTGTTTGTGCTAAAACTTAGGTCATCCTTGCTGATGTGTAAATCCTGTTCATGTTTAGGGAGCTGAAAACATTGCAGATGCTTTGAAGCAAAACCGGACAATAACAACCATAGACCTGGTGAGAGGAGCATGCTTCTTTGTTAGCATAACTTTTTATGTACATGTTTTATTCTATTTTATTTAAAAACGAAAAAAGAGAGGTCCTGAACATACTAATTTAAAAAACATTGGGTCGCTCTCAAAGGGAGGAAATAACATCCATGCCAAGGGAGTCACTGCCATAGCTGAAGCATTGAAAGATAATTCTGTCATTACATTTGTAAGTCTCTAATCTGTACCCTTTTCCTTTTTTTTCTTTTTTCATTTCTATTCATGAATGTAATGGCAGAAACTTCTCTGTTCTCTCAGTTGGAGCTTGGTTATAATCCCATGGGACCTGATGGGGTGAAGGCTTTATCCGAAGTTCTCAAGTTTCACGGAAACATAGAAACCCTTAAGCTTGGCTGGTGCCAGGTAATCTATAGTTTTTCACACATGCTTATCTATTTCTAGATCTTTGATCTGGGTTTTCTGTATCCATTTGAGAGGATCTTGTAACAATGTAATATAAAAATCTTTTGCAGATTGGTGCAAAGGGTGCAGAGTTCATTGCGGATATGTTAAAATATAATACTACAATACGCGTTCTGGACTTGCGGGCAAATGGACTTCGAAATGAAGTTAGTTCCTGTAGATAAGCAATGTCTTTATACTCCATTTGGGTCGTTTTGATCTCTCCAATCTAATGTTATTTTCCTTTTTATGCATTGGAAAATGCAGGGTGCATCCTGCCTGGCTCGTAGCTTAAAAGTGGTTAATGAAGCTTTAAGTTCATTAGACTTAGGGTTCAATGAAATCAGGGTATGTATTGACTTTGTGTTTTCGGTATGCTTTTTTTCACATTTTAGCAGTATTTTGCACAATTTGAAAATGGTTTTGTATTCAGGATGACGGGGCGTTTGCAATTGCTCAAGCACTGAAGGCCAATGAAGATGTGACAGTCACATCTCTGAACCTTGCGAGTAATTTCCTCACCAAATTTGGGCAGGTAACCTTCTCATCCTCTTAAGGGTTTTTTTTTTCTCTCTTTCACTATTTTGGCATTTTATTTTGTGCTGCTTGTTTTCACATGTGGCTTAATGAACTTTTGCATGATGCAGAGTGCTTTGACAGATGCAAGAGACCATGTATATGAGATGAGTGAAAAAGAAATCAACATTTTTTTCTAGAAGGCTTACTTATTAGACTAGAAATGTGGGTGGTATGTGGGAAACAAATCAACATCTTTTGGTTTATTCTTTTTCCCAGGAAGCATGGGTAAGAACTCCAATATCCAAACTTCTGGTTGAAAATTTTGAGTTCTTATCGACTTCCACTTACTGAGGAACAAATTGGAAATTTTGACATTGAGAAATCATAGTTAGCTCTTCAGTGATAGATAGGTACTGTTCTTAAGGCTTTTCTTTTTCATTTCATGGTTGGGGGTTGGGGGTGGTGTTATTCACTAGAGAGTTGAAATATAAGTCTACAAAGCTTTGTATCTTTCAATGTACTGATAAATTCAGAGAAGTTTTTGTAATGATTTATTATTAGTCTTTAGTACCAAGACCAACCAAGAAAAGATGAGTGGTGGTGCCTTTATAAATTAGAGAAGTGAGTTTTGAGGGTGCCGATGCAATGCAATGCCATATAGCCTTGGATGGATGATTTTATTGAACTGTTAAGCGGTGTAGCGTGTGCGTCTCACTTTGGAAACAACATTCATGTCGTGGCTGGGACCATGGACTTTTGTGTCACCGCTCCACCGCCTCATCGTCTAGTGAGCTAGCTGGTCCTCTTGGAAATTTAAGTGCTGGCCACACCCACCGTTTCAATTTCTGTGCCGAGGCCAACTTTTTTATTTTTGTTCTGCACTCGTGGTTAGTCCAGTTGGCAAAAGCAGTGCGTCAACTCTTTGCACTCGAGTTCCATCACTATATCACTTTGTTTAAAAGGAAAAAAATGACACAATAATTCAGACGTGTTAGACATTATTGATTCAAAATCCGTCTTGTAACAAAAGATTGATTCAAAACCCATCCTGTAACAAAATATGGATTATGACGTTCTCTTATATGATACATGCATGCATTATGCATACAATACAACTAGAGCTGAGCTGTCTCCTGTGTACATGCATACTTCCAATCCATACATCCAGCCAGCTTGGCAGCCTGCCTCCTGCATCCTGCTGCCCATCACCATTTTTATTTCAAATTCCTTTTTTATGATCTTATCTTATCCTAAGTAGTTATGTTATGCATGCATGCTGTTACTGGTTTACATCCAAAAAGGAGAGAGAGAGAGAGAGAGAGAGAGAGAGAGAGAGAGAGAGAGAGAGAGAAGAGCATATCTACTTCTTGTAAGATATCATATGTTTGTATTATAAAACATAGTCAGCTAATGCCAAAATGGGGTCTGTCATGGTTTCAGACCCCGATGGCGTCGTACTTGGTTGAAAACAAAATCACAAAATAAAACGACACTGTTGTGTTCATCATCTAATTAAACGCAGAAGAGTAGAAGACAAAGACATGCGCAATATGGGAGAAGATACATGGGCAATAAGGTAACTATATTATTAAGAGGCAACTGCTATGCTATATATATATATATATCAAGAGCTTTGCCTTTCAGTTTCGGATATATACAACACTGCTTCTGCTTGTGTTTAAATTAAATGGCTTTACGCTTGCTTCTTGTTATGGCGGTTTTGCTCTTCTGCATGGCGACGCAGGTAAGAATAAAAGCCTTAAAAGTTCCACTCCCTTCCCTTTATTACTCACTCTTTTCCTCTGGAGATCATGCCTTCACCAAAATATTTACATGTTTTTCCATACATACAGGTTTCATCTGATTCGAATATACAAGACCATGAAACCCAGGTTTAGACTAATCACCACGACCTTTCTCTTTTCTTTTTTTTTCTTTTTTTCTTTTTTTCTTTTTTTTTGGGGGTTTGTTTTGTGTGCTGGATATTTAATTAATTAATTCTTACCGATTACTCTAGGTGGTGAAAGGAGCAAACAGAAGGCTTTTACCCTACCTGAGTATGCCCTTTTCTCATTCCCTTGCCCTTGTTGATGATGCATGCATGTAGTTCATTTAGAGTTTAATAAATAACATAAGTTAACACAGCGGTGTGCGTTAATTAAATGTGTTTTGTTTTGTATTAATTTGATAATTAATAATAATGCAGATTGTGATGAGTTATGCAACTCGAGGTGCAGGTTGCACTCAAGGCCAAACGTGTGCACAAGGGCATGCGGTACCTGCTGCGTGAGGTGCAAGTGTGTTCCTCCGGGTACCTCCGGCAACCGGGAGGCCTGTGGAAGGTGCTACACTGATATGACCACCCATGGCAATCGCCTCAAGTGCCCGTAATTACTACTATATTTCCACTTAAGGCCAATTACTGAAAAAACCAAAACAAAAAAAAAAAATCACAGTAGGAAATAAATTTCGGATATTTAATCAGTGAGTGTTGTGTTTTGTATGATGTTGTTGTATATGTGTCTCCTCTACTATTTTCTTTCTTTGTATCAATGTTGAGTTCAGTTTCTGAGTCTTGTGTTATTTGTTGTAAGTTGTAGCGAACAATAATAAACTAAATATTGCAGACTTGTGTATCTGTATGATTGTATCTCCTCCTCTCACGTCCAATGCTCTTAAAACCCAACTCTTTTTGTTCTTTTTTCAATCATAAAACCCAACCTTTTTGGCCCATTTCATTACTGGCCACAGAACAACCGATACACCATTTAGGAAATATATATATCTCGGGTTTTATCCACAGTGGGTCAAAAATCTAAAATTATTCTCATTTCAACAAGTGGAGGAAAATAAAAGATTTGTAGCTTGATTGACTAAGAAGTATTTATTTTTGCACTCGAGATCTTATAATTGAATGTGATGCTCCTCTCCTCTACCCCGATAGTGCTTGTAAGAAAGAAAAAAAAACCTGGTGGAGGGAAATTCTTCATACCAATCGTATCCCTTCCTTTCACGTTCACGAGAACGGCTTTACATCTTTGGTTAAAGGTCACTCAAAGTTGATCTGACATGTCCTTTCCAAAGGAGCAGAACCTGTCCATCAACGCCCCCCTATTGTTTTTGCTGCTGCACAGCACTAAGATCAACTATTATTTGTTCTCCTCCTGGGTTCACATGACAGGACTGCCATGGAAATATGGATGTGTATAACGCGAGCAATTTACTATAATATTGGGTTGGGTAAATTTACTATAACAAAATTTTCAACTGTATCTAGCAACTGCTCTTGTTTTACCCTTTTATTGGGTAAACTCAACCTTGCACATCAAATTACCTTTTGTAAAACACACAATTTGGACCACCCCATCTATTTAGTTTTATAACTATCGTTATAATTAGAATGATACATGTTGTGACAAATGCACTTTTGTCCACATTTTTCATCATTATTATTGGCCTTTTATAAAAATACAAACCTAAAAACAAAAATAACAAACCAAAGCCCTCCTATTGTTTTTGCTACTGCACAATCTCTACCACCCAATTTGCTCACGTTATACACATCCATATTTCCATGGCAGTCCTGTCATGTGAACCCAGGAGGAGAACAAATAATAGTTGATCTTAGTGCTGTGCAAGATTCAAATCAATTCGCTAAAACCGACCAATCCAATTCAATTTTATTGGTTTTGACGACATTGGCGAGATTTGATTGGATCAGAAAAATAGAAATCCAATTGGATCGGTTCGGAACAAAAATTGAACATCCAACCTAAATTGAACCAATCCAATATACACATTAATATACATTCATATTGTGTAGATAATATCTACACGTTCATTTTGTTTCTCATTGATATATTAATCTTACTTTCAAAAAAATTAAAACATTAACATATTAAATATATTATTATATTAATTTATATTAAAATTAATATATTAATGTCATATCTTTGATTATATTAAAGAGTGCTGCTAAACGAACCCTAAAATTAACTGAGTACACCCTATGGTCTAAGTACACCCTAATATTTTAAACAAAATGTAAAATTAACTAAGTACACCTTATTTAACTACAAAAAATACCCTTGGTACACCATAATCCTAAACTTTTACATAAATTCGTATCCTCTTTTTAGATTTTGGATTTGCATCAAAATCTATAATTTTGTAAGCTGCTGTGAGAATAAATTTGTTAACTCCTTCAATTCAAAGCTTAATTCTTGTAAATTCTTGTAACTCTCCACTTGAAGTAGGAACCAAATTTGAACGCGCCTGATTCTTAATTCTATCAAGTTGAATAATGTTGGCCATTTCAACACCACTGTCAAAAATTTCTGATACGTCAGTGACTTGTTGGGGCTTTCTTCCCAAGTTGATACGTCTAATGATATGCTGGTCTTTTTGGTGGTGTTGCACTTTTATTTAAATCTTCTCTTTGATTGATATAGCCAGCTGTCTTCTAATGTTCATCATTTGTTTCCTGCACTAACTTTGTAGCTATCCCTAGGTTTTCTTCCCTTTAATTTGTGTGGGTCTCTACTGGGACCAGGAAGTTGTTTCAACATCTTTTCTACAAATCTCTAATATTTCGATGGAGGTTGATAAGTGTTTGTTTGAATTTTTTCCTCATGGCTTCGCCATTTCGTTCTCCACTTGTTTCTTTCGGTGGCCTTTTTTTTTATATTTAAAACTAGAGTCTATTTATTAAAATTACATTTGTTTCATAATTTAATATATATTTTTTGGTAATTTAATATTAGGGTACATTAGTAATTCAATAAATAGTTTGGTAATAGAGTGTACTCAGTTAATTTTAGGGTTTGTTTAGCGGCATTCATATTGAATTTTGTATTATATGTAATGAAAGATTATAAAGTTTTTTGTGATGATTATTTTTTCATACAAACCGATCATTCAATTTAATCTAATCCAATGTATATTAGATCAGATTGGATGGATCTTGACATCCGACCATATTGGATTGAATTATAAAATTTATAATCCAATAAAAGATTGGATTTAATTGAATTGGTAAAAAACCACTGGTTTCGAACCGATAGGGGTTAATCTCAACTAAATCTCAACTACTCATTTTAAGTTTCTTTCCCGTTTCGTGTTGTACGTGTCTCTTTTTGAAGCCGCAATAATATGAATGGCCTGAGTGCTTTCATGCGTCAGCAGCAGCTACCAGCTTCTTTAATAATTATATGACACTTTTCTCCTGTCGATGACCAAGAGGTGTCAAACGGGCCGTGCCGGGCCGGCCTGTCCCATTTAAACTCGTGCTTTTAATATTTTCGTGCCGTGCCGGGCCGGTCCATTTAATTTATCGGGCCGTGCCGTGCCGGCCCATTTAATAAAATCATTGATCCCGGCCCGACCCAAAGCCCATGTCCATATTCAAACGGGCCGGGCCGGGCTCGTGCCGTGCCCGTGCTCGTGCTCGTGCCGTGCTCGGGCCCAAGAACCAACCCATTGAATTTGAATTTTTTTCACTTGATTTTTTTTTTCCACTAGATAATTCAAATTATAAACATTAAAAATATAATTAGAGGCAAGAAATTATGAACTATTTGAAAACATAAATCAATCAAACATCCAAACAATATGAAGGGGCGGAGGACAAAAAGTGTCCAACTCCACAAAGTCCACTTGAACTTTTCATCTTTAAACAACTTATTATTTTATATGTGAAGAAATGTTTTGCTTTGATTATAAGAGAAGCATATATGTCATATGTATTGATTAGATATCAAGTCCAATGTTGTTTAATTAATTTGTAGTTGATATGTTTAATTAACTAAGGACCCAAGTAATTTCCATAAAATGAAAGACATCAAATATATGTTTATGATTTTTTATTTTTTTAAAAAAAACATATAAACAATGACATTAGATGTCAAATTATTGCATTTTGACTTTTTGAGAAGAAAAAAAGCTAAATGGGCCATGCTTGGGCCGTGCTTGGGCTCGTGCCGTGCTTGAAGCAGGCTCAGGCCATGGGCCGGCCCGGTCCATTGGACCTATTTTTTGATCCCGGCACAGCCCAAGTTTTCGTGCCGTGCTGGGCACGGCCCATTAATATTCGTGCTCGTGCCATGCCGTGCCTCATTTAAACGGGCTGGGCTCGTGCCGTGCTGGGCCGGCCCGTCCCGTTTGACACCTCTACGATGACCCCATGGGCAATCATGGAGTTTTCATATGAAAGTACAGCCCTTATAATCCATGCCATTGCAATATCCCACACTAACATTTTATCGCTTTAGAGCATTTCCACCCCTCTTTTGTTATTGCAAGAACACCCCCTCGAAAGGAAAGTCCATGATAAAAAGTGGGCCCCGAAATTGAACAAGCTCTGAGGCAAGGCTTGTCTAAGCAAGCTGACGTCATATTGATATCAACGATCAATTTAAATACTAAAAATAAAATATCAAAAATTTCAGAATTTTTTTTTTATAAATGCCTAGCCACATATCTCATGTAAATAGATATTGCCCTTAAATTGCCATGGCAATGAGTGGGAATGCATCAAAAAGTAGCTAGAGTAGTTACTATTCACATGAATAGTGTTTGCCCTTATTCTTCACCGTGCCACAATGGGATGGAAGTTCTCGTAGCTTATAAATAAACAGCGCCAGTTTTAGAAGAAACCAAGCACAGAACAGAAGCAAAAGAAATGGATAACGAATATAGAGGTCATGTTGTGGTGCTTCCATATCCAAGCCAAGGCCACATCAACCCTCTCCTTCAGTTTGCAAAACGCCTGGCCTCTAAAGGCGTTAAGGCCACATTGGCCACAACCAGTTCAACTGTCAACTCCATTTGTGTCCCGAACGTTGGGATCGAGCCCATCTCCGATGGGTTCGGCCAGGCCGGCTTTGCTCAAGCCGCAGATGAGGACACTTTCCTTCAATCATTCAAAACCAATGGCTCAAGAACCCTATCTCAAGTCTTGGATAAATACCAAAACTCCGACTTTCCTGTCAATTGTGTAGTTTATGATTCTTTTTTGCCATGGGCTCTTGATGTGGCCAAGAAACATCGCATATATGGAGCTTCATTCTTTACCAATTCGGCCACGGTGTGCAGCCTCTTTTTCCGCGTTCATCATGGCTTGCTTTCTCTTCCATGTAAGCTGGAAGATATGCCCTTGTTGGTTCCTGGCCTGCCTCCACTCAACTTTCCTGACCTGCCTAGTTTTCTTAAGAAGCCAGATAGCTACCCAGCTTACTTGAAGTTGAAGCTGAACCAGTATCCTGACTTGGACAAGGCTGATTGGGTCTTTGTAAACACATTCGAGGCACTAGAAGGCCAGGTACGAATGCTAATCTAGACAACTGTACATGTTATGTTGTAAGTGGAGGAGGGAGGCCCAGGGTGGGCATGTGCCCCCTCTCAAATTCTATTTTAGGCTATTGTATTATTAATATAATCATACTTTTCTAACCAAATTTTGAAATGCCCATGTATTTCTTTCTTTGTATTTTTCTAATTTTCCTTTTCTCATTATCATTGCTACCCTTTCACATTTTTTTATAGTCGTACTTTGATTTGTAGTGATAAATTACCGTTCAAATTTTCTTACTGTGTATTTTTAATAAATTACATTTCATTTGATTTTTTTCTAGGATCGATGTTGAGTAGATAGTTAATATAATATGTAAAATAATGGAGTACAAAAATTAGGGATTTTGTATCAAGTAAAAAATTAGTTTAATTGGCTCCCTAAAGAAAAATATATTTCAATATATGAGGTGCCCCTCTGTGAAAATTTTCTGGCTCCGTTGTTCAACTATCAATCTCTTTCCATTAATCAAGTACAATATGCTAGGCATTTGGTGTCCATAGGCGAGCTTTCTTATCAGCATTGCATGCAGGGACGAATCCAGGGTTTCAAAACTCGGTGGGCTAAATTTACTTTATGTACGCAAGAAATTTCAGCAGTGAAGGCCAAATCGCACCAAGTTGGACTTTAGAACACGTGTGAGAGAAAAAAGAGATACACAAAATAAAAAAAGAGAAACGAAGGAAAAAAAAAACAAAAGAAAAGCAAAATATATATATATATATATATAGGAAGAAGAGACTGTGGGAAAAAGCTCAGTTCGTAGTAGATCCAAACCATTAAAAAAAAAAAACAAAGGAGAAACAAGGGAAAAAAAACAAGAGAAAGGCCGGAAAAACAAAAAGAAATAGGAAGAAGAGAGAAAGGAGGAAAAGAAGAAAGAGAGAGAAATGAAGAAAATAAGAAAAAGACAGAGCATGGGTATTGAAATTTTTTTTTTTAAATGCATGGGCTATAGCCCATACAACCCAATAGCTGGATTCGTCCCTGATTGCATGCATTTGTGCTAGCTGATCAATTAAATATCATGTTGCCAAATTCCAATTCTAATTTTAGTTCAATAAAAGGCTGCAAACGGATTATCAAAGCTGTTCTCTGGGAAGTTGATTGGCCCCATGGTCCCTTCAGCTTATTTGGATGGGCAGATTACGGGAGATAGAGGATATGGAGCAAGCCTATGGAAGCCTCTTGGCGAAGAATGCAACAAATGGTTAGAAGCAAAGCCACCCAAATCGGTTGTTTATGTCTCCTTCGGAAGTATGGTGTCTTTGACAGAAAAGCAGATGGAAGAGTTAGCATTGGGGTTGAAAGAAAGTGGGGTGCATTTCTTGTGGGTGGTGAGAGAATCTGAACGCAGCAAGTTGCCCAAAGAAATCTCTGACTCAGCAAAGGAAAAGGGTCTGTTTGTGAAATGGTGCAACCAGCTAGAAGCACTTGCACACGAAGCTATTGGGTGCTTTGTGACTCATTGTGGCTGGAACTCAATACTTGAAGGGCTCAGCCTCGGAGTGCCTATGGTGGCAGTGCCGCAGTGGGCCGACCAGCTCACTAATGCTAAGTTCGTGGAGGAGATATGGGAGGTTGGGGTCAGAGCCAAGGAAGATGAGCAGGGTGTTGTGAGGAAAGAAGAGTTTGTTGGGTGTTTGAAGAAAGTAATGGAGGGAGAGAGAAGCCAAGAGATTAGGAAGAATTCAAGTAAGTGGAGGGAGTTGGCTAAGAAAGAATTTAGTGAAGGGGGGAGCTCTGAAAAGAATATTACTGGATTTGTAGAGCATTTGAGGCTTGCTAACAAGAAAGGAGAGGCAAATTTATGGTCTACCTAACTATTGCAATTGAGAATTTATTTTTTCTCTCAAACCCTAGCGCTGCAACCTCTCTCTCAAACCCTCAGTCTTTCAACGCAGCAAGGGGGAGGTGGTCACTACCTCTCCTTCCCTCCCCCCTTATACCTCTTTCAATTTCCAATTTCCATCTTCCGTCTTCCTCTTCATTCCATCTCGGTTATCTTCTTCTTCATTCCATTTCAAATTTGTAGTTTTTGTATTTGTTTTGTGTGTTTTGGTGTGTTTGCAGTTATTTCACTCATCATTAGTTCTGGTGGCGACGTCTCGGTCTTCATAGAAGCTACGGCAGCGGTACTTTGGCTTTTGGTGGTGTTTCTGCTTTTGGTTGGCTCTGGCTTTATGCCAGTTGTAAACTTTATGCCTATTTGAGTTTTATTTCTAGTGGGCTTTTACTATTGCATTTGTTTGGACTCATTTTTATGAGTTTCACTATCTTGTAATTCTATCAAGGAAACTCAATTCCGACCCTGAAAAAAAAGAAAAAAAGAAAGGAGATGCAAAGCAATTCTTGAATGGCACAGATTAAACTTTATTATGACTGCTATGTGTGAGAAAGTCAAGCATAAAGTGGTAGATTGTGTTCGTTGTCGTGTGTTTAGCTCCTATTTTTATATGTAAAGGACTTGTTCTTCAACTTAAATTTCTTACCTTGTTTTTATGAGAGAGTGTGACAGATTCACCTTGTGTCATTTCCGTATTAATAATCAAATGCAATTGAGATGTTACTGAAGCACAAAATCATTGTTGAAAAAAGTAAAAAATCTATAAAGATCAACAGTGTATGCTTCTTTATACATAAATATCATCAGAACCTGCTTTTTTATGCTAGAACATCCTCATCAACATATAATGAGCTTGATTTTCGTAAAACCTGCTAAAATATAAAAATGATAGTCAGTCCCGTATATCATATAACCAACATGAAATCTATCATAACGAAATTATTCAAGATGTAAGTTTGTTCCACTAACCTAGCCCTTCTATGCTAGAACACGCTCTTCATCAGCTCGTGAATCTGTGATCCTTTGCAAAGCTGCTGAAAGAACAAAAATGATAGAATCAGGCCCCCTGTATATCATAACCAATCTGTCCCCAATCATAACAAAACCATTGAAGACGCAAGTGAACCAAAACTCAAATTCTGCTTTACTACAGATTTTTCAGGGTGTAGGCTTGATTTATTTTTTATTTTTTCATCTTGACTTTTGATTTTGAATTTTACGCAGTTGAAGATCTGAACTTTACCTCTTTTCTTAAGCTTATTTCGAAAGCTTCTTTTCCTGCTAAATGCTGTCTCCTGTAATAAGAAAGCAAACTAGTTACCAAGGTGCAACTAAAAGATTCCATTGTCAACCAGAACACTAGAAACATAAACATATGCAAATCATTATCTAAAATCCAGGACTAGGAGGTTTCAAAACTGTTGAATCACAACCAGGCATATCTCGTTGGAAATAGCAAGTTCAATAGTTACCACAGGCTGACTAAGCTCCCCCGCTCGACGAACTGCAGCAACCAGATCTCGGTTGGATTCAGTATACATGCTAGTTACAAGTCCGTATTGACCAGCTCTGGCTGTGCGACCAACCCTGTGTATAAAATCCACAGCAGAAGTAGCAAAATCTGCCTGGATAAGTAAACAATGCCAGTGTTAGCTCCTGTTCATACTACTAATAAATAGCATCACAGCGGCCAATGAATAAATAGATCACAACTAGAAAGAAAAAAAAAAAAAAAATCTTAAGAAAGCATGCTAGATAAAATAGTGTCAGAGAGCACATAATGAAAGAGGAAAAAAATCATCCAGAGTTCCATCTAGAGTCTCAAGCGGCCTGCAGCAAGTAAATGGGGAATTCATTTGTCCCTTCCCAACACCAAACCAACTCCCCCCCTACCCCCACCTCCCCACCCCAAAACCAAAACTAATGTTTTTTGTTGGTCTTCAAGCTAATTATTTAAAAACTAACACGCACCTGGATAACATGTGATACGTTTGGAATGTCAATGCCACGTGCAGCAGCATCTGTGCACACAAGAATACCACCTTTCTCTTGGAAATCAGCCAATGTCTTTGCTCGGTCTTCCAAGGAGCAATCTTTATGGTAATGGTAGCATTCAATGCCACCTCTCATCAATATCTTTGCCACTGATTCCACAGCCTCCACAGTATTTGCAAATACCATTGTTCGGCACTGACCAGAAACTGATCTCGACTCAAATCCATGCTTCACAGCCTTTATAAGTTCATCCACTTGAGTATCAAAAGTAACTTCAATCCACCTTTGCTTTAATCTGAAATATAAGAGAAGCAACCAAAAAATGTTGTGAAATGAACACAACACAACAGTTGACTAGTGAGGAGGTAAAGAAAATTACAAACAGTAACTGGTAGCTAAAACATGGTGTACCTGGGGTTGTGACAATGGAGGTAGTTTCCACTAACCCAATTGGCCTCGGGAAACATCTTTTTCAACACTGCCCCGGCAGTTCTCTTTCCATTTACTGGAAGAGTGGCTGCAACAAAAATGTATTGTTTGCTGCGCTTATAAACTTTTCTCACTCTCCTCCAGTCTGTACTTTTGACATGCCCTGCCTCAAGCTCCTCATCTAAGTCATCATTTTCCACAGCATCTCCCTCTTCTTCTGACAAATCTTCATCCTGCAGATTCTCTTCATCTTCTGAACTGAAATGTGATGAAGTTTCAGATTCTGGTAGATTTTGTTCATTTGACCGTGACAATAGCTTTTCGTCAAAGCGGAGCATGTGTATGAGACGGATAACCTTATTCTGGTAGCCCCCAGAGAGAAGCATATCCGCTTCATCAAACACCTGCAAATGCCATATTAGTCATAAATCATGTGATTTTTATATTTATATGCATGCAATTTCACATATGCGATTTTGAAAACAAAAAATAATCATACAGAGTATGAATGAAACTAAAACATACCACATATTTTACACTCCGTATAAAATCCGTTCGACGGAAATTTTTTGGGTCAATATTATTCAGAAGAGCGGCTGGTGTTGAAACAATAATATCAGGTTCATTAACCGGCCATCCCTGCAGTCAAAGTTTCTTATTTGTGAGAACCTCATTACAAAAAATTATTACGCAAAGCCAAAGAGAAAGAGAATTGCATCCTTCAGTAATAGAAGTAACACCATATAAATACAGAATTCTATACCCAGAACAGAATAATAAGAACAATCAATACCTGTCTCCCACATAGGGATACAACACTTAGAAGTGGTTTGCCATTTTCGTCACAAAGACCGTCCGCCATCCGAACCACTTGCTCAGACAGTGTTACATTTGGACACAAAACAAGAGAAATCTTACGGGGTTGGGAGACTCCTTGATCAGAAGAAGCAATATTCGCAGAGTCGTTCTGTTCATTGCATAGCTTATCAATTAGAGGGACAAGGAAGCTATGCGTTTTGCCACTACCAGTTTCAGCTGCAACCACCACATCCTTTTCTGAAAGTATAGATGGTATGCTAGCAGCCTAAAATGCAAAAAACAAAAACAAAAGTTTCAATAAAAAGTTCAAACTTTTTAAATGATTTGAGAAATCGAACCAATACATCGAGAAATTAAAGAGTATATTAGGGTTAGGACTGAACTTGGCACCTGAACCAGAGATGGTTGGCCGAGGCCGGCATTGTAGAGAGCCTGAGAAACCTTATCGGATAAGCCAAGGGAAGTCCATGAAACGCTTTCTTCAGTGAAAAACGTATCTCCTCCTTCTTTCCGATACGCAGCGGTAGTGACGGTTCCGAAACGGCGGGGGTGGCTCAGCCAAAGCAAGTTAATCCGGAACGAAGATGAAGAATTGGAGAGAACAGAGTAGGAATATCTGAATTGAGAGAAGAGTCTAGGGGGAGATGACGATAGTTTGTAGAGTGGAAGCATTGTTGTTGCTGAGCGATGGAGTATCATTTGGGATTTTGTGTTAGGGTTTATGGGATATGGATAAACCCTTTGCTGTAAGAAGATTGGGTTTAGGGATGGAGGGAGAGGTTTATGAAGATGATAGAGCGACAGCGATAGTGAAAGCAATTCCTGACTGACGCATTTGAGTCCGTTGGATAATTCCTGGATTAAGGAACGCTAATCTTGTAATTCCTTTCTTCTTCTGTTTTTTTTTCAATTCTTTGGAATTTACCTCCAAACTGTAAATATAAGCAGAAAACGAATATGAATATTGGGAAAACGTTTTCCATCACAAAAGGCTTTATACATACATGAGGATGATGGTATCATGGTAGTATGATTTTTTTTTTTTTTTTCAGTAAAGATGGTGCATGGTATGATTTTTTATTCAAGGAAAAAGGATATTCGAGTCTTCTTGTGTTACAAGTGAGAAAGACAATTTAAATCTCAACTTAAAAATGTGAAACCACAAATAAATTTGCATATAATAGGCTCCGTATGTACTTGTAATAGACTCTTCAATATTCTTTTACTTTTCAATATACTTATTCATGTATTATAGACGTATATAGTTTATTAATTTGGAAAATAGGAATACAATTTCATCTAATTAGCATAAGGCCAAAGACCAAAATGTAGTACCTAATTTTACAAAAATATCAAAATTACACACAATATCACTCCTTTTAAGGCAAGTATACTATGCCACATGTCCATATCTAGCCAACGCGGGGCACCTGCCACCGTCTGCAGGGGACCAACTCCGTTGCCTTTATTCACCTTTAAAAAAATTGGTGAGGTTGAAGGCCAAGGAAAGAACAAAAACAATGCAGTTTCCAAAAGTTCAATTTTGAGTTCCCTTGCTCTTGGGTAGTTCTACTCTTCTCTTACCCACCCAATTCCTCATATGGGTAGCCTCTACTCTTCAAATTGGTGAGGTTGAATGCCAATGAAAGAGCAAAAATCCAATTGTCATTACCAAAACTGCAATGCAGAACCTGTATAAGAAGTTGCAACTAAATTAGATCATTGCCTAACATACATGCATACATATATTTGATCACAAACTCTCACATACCAAAGAACCCTAAGATTAAAGTCATCCTTTCACTTTAGAAATATACAGTAACAAAAAGAAAACTAATTTATTAAGCTGCACTAGAGGTTATAGAGATGTAAAAACTATATCTAAACACTACTATTTAGCATATTCAAATGTTTGAAAGTAAATCATAACATTGGCTTAAACTAACCACTAAGGGTCCTCATTCTTTTCCCACCCCATGTGCATTATTGTATACTTCAGGAAGAAAAATAAAACAAAAAACAAGAGAAAGAGTTCATCAAAAAAATGCTCGGAGAGTGGTATTTCATGGAAATCACAATCCCCAACCATCATATGCCTCCAACTCTTCTTAAAATGAACAAGCAAACCTTATGCATATTTTTCAGCAGTAGAGAAACAACATAGGTTAACGATTAAAT